CTTAATGCGATAAAAAAGCGCTTTTGATCGCTACTAATCTTACTTCTATCTGTTGCGTATATAAGGAGAAAATTGTTGAAGACGTCTCATACCGAATAACTTAGCGGCCATACAAATTCAGAAAGATGCAACATACGACTTAGACCGTATCAATTTAATTTCAAACAAATTATTTAGATATTACAAACTATAGTTATCGATTATCTTTCGCCACATTTGTTTATTTCTCTTGTCGCTTGCGCAACTATCTAAGAAAGCCGCGCACCACTCACAATTTTCGAAATTCGTTAAAAACGTTTTCTAAAAAATAAAATATTATAAAATATAAACTATACGCAAATGTGGCGAAAGATAATCGATGACTATAGGATGTAATATCTAAATGATTTGTTTGCAAATAAATTGATTTTTTATGGTATAAGTCGTATGTTGCAATTTTCTCAATTTGTACGGCCGCTAAGTTATTCGGTATGTGACGTCTTTTACAATTTTCTCCTTATATACGCAACAGATAGAAGTAAGATTAGTAGCGATCAAAAGCGCTTTTTTATCGCATTACGCCTATACCCCCTTTCATTTTTCGCGAACACTCCCTTTAATAACTGATTCCATAATTTTACAAATAATACAAGTTAAAGAAACTGGTCTATAGTTACCAGGATTGAGCTTTGAACCTTTCTTAAAAATGGGTGTAACGTTTGCACATTTCCATTCTTTGGGAACACTTCATTCATAGACTTTGTAAATAACAAACACAAAAACAAGGTTCTTCTGAAAGTTCTATTAAAAGGCTGGAATTAAATCCATCTGGCCCCGGAGCTGAAAAAGGTTTCAGTTTTTTTAACTTCTGCTTAATATTTTCTGGGGTAAAAGTTACCGACTCGAGTATCATAATTTCAGGTTTCAAATGTTCAATGTTCGGCATATCTGTTAAATCTTCAATAGTAAATACACTTGAGAAATAGGCATTCAAGTTTTCAGCTATTAATTTATCATCGTCAAGTATAACATCATTTACTTTTAGCGGGCCAATGTTATCTCTGTTGAACTGTTTACTGTTTAAATATTTATAGAAAAGCTTAAGATTTTTTTTCACGTTTTAGCAAGTTTTTTTTCAAAGTTTTTTTTAGCATTTTTAACAGAATTTTTTCCTAATAACTTTCATTATTCCTTTCTGCATCCATAGAGGTATACACAATATACAATATACAATATACAATATACAATATACAATATACAATATACAATATACAATATACAATATAAAATACACAATACACAATAAACATTACACAATATACAATATACAATATAAAATACACAATACACAATAAACATTACACAATATACAATATACAATATACAATAAACAATGTACACGCTACAAAATACAATATACAATATAAACTCTACATATACACACTACAATATACACTACAATATACACTATACATATATACACTACAATATACACTCTACATATATACACTGAAATATACACTCTACAATATACACACTACAATATACACTCTACAATATACAAATATTTTTACTCTCTACTTTTATCTTTCCAATATCCAGTCATTCTCTCTTCTAAAGTATCTAAATATTTTCTAACTATTATTCTGACGTTTTATTCTCTCTTCGTTTCATGTGTAAATTTCATGTGTCTATTTTGACTGATCCTCACCCTCGCGCGTAAGTGCTGGGAAAGTGGTGTCAAATATATAACAACTCTTTTTTAAAAGTATTTTTTTGTTAATAAAAGCATGCAAAATTTGCAGTGTACGATTTACAACGGTACCCTTGAAACCTTTATTTGATCAAATATGCGGAGAATAACGCAAAAAAGTTGTTAATTTATCGAATTTTTCCAATAAATGCGCAAGTCACTATTGCAGAAAAACCACAAATTAAATTGAACAGTTTTAAAAAATAAAAACTTTGAGTTACTTGATCAGACAAAGTCAATTCTGTTTCCAAGTAATTTCAACATTTTTTGTTCCAGAATTTGGGGTTTCTGTTTTTGAGTCTAATTCCAAAATCGATTTTTTTTTCATCAGTTTTTTTTTATAATTCTGTTTGTCTTCTTTCTATCGTATAATTTGTTAACATCTTTTCTTTTTATCTAATTACAGGTTTACCTACAGACTTCAGAGAGACAATTATGATTCCCTGCAACAATACAGTTTTATATTTTTAAATCATTGAAAGACTATACACTGTACAGTCAAGGCAGAAGATTTCTTTTTATTTTAAGATCGCTGTATTGCAAGAATTTTTAGTCTGTAAAGAATAAAACTTCTCCTGTAGGTTAGATAATTCAAGATAATATTCAGAATTCAAATATGTACAATGTTTCTATTGATATATAATATTATTTTTGAAAATGTTATTTTTGGCTCTGAGTCAACCGTCCCATATAGTAGACCCAACACCATGCATTCAAAAACAAAACAAATATTTTTGTTTCTCAATTATAAAGATTGGTAAAGTCAAGAAGTTTGAAGCATCTTAATGCAAGTCTTGTATTAGTTAAACAAAAACAATATCAACAGAGTTTTATTTCGAATGAGGTAGTGCAGTGTAGTGTAGTGTAGTGTAGTGTAGTGTAGTGTAGTGCAGTGTAGTGTAGTGTAGTGCAGTGTAGTGTAGTGTAGTGTAGTGTAGTGTAGTGTAGTGTAGTGCAGTGTAGTGTAGTGTAGTGCAGTGTAGTGTAGTGTAGTGTAGTGTAGTGCAGTGTAGTGTAGTGTAGTGTAGTGTAGTGTAGTGTAGTGTAGTGTAGTGTAGTGTATTCACATTAGTACCCTTAAAAACTTTGTCTGGTAAAGTATTGTATTGTAAGAAGCAATGGAGAAACTCACAGAAATAAACACTTTTCGAGTTGCAGAAAAACGACGGTATCTTCCACATTTTTGATCAATGGTACCGTTGTAAATCTGGAATTACCATTATCTACATTAAGGGTCACTTCAAATTACGCCAACAGTCCCTTTAGGTCTTTTGTAATTTGAAATTTAATAGTTTTTAACTAAACAGAGAACATTTTACATTTTAAGAAATTATAAATCAGTGGAAAATTTGAAACTATATTTTATTCAGGTTTATTGTCCTTTCGGTCTTAAGTAGGGTTTCCAGCGAACGGAAACTTTTGAGAAAAAATGCGAAAACTTTCGTTAGTATTTCGCGAAATTTCGCATTTTGTTGCGACATTTTACGAAATGTTTTGAATTCCGCAAAAAAAACTACAGCTGCAACAATTAATTGCGCAAAAAAACTTCTGATATTCTCTGCTCTGAGAGCTCAACATTAGAAGTTTTATTTTAAACCCTAGTCTTAAGTAATCTAAGTTGGGATTTAAACCATTTCTTGAAAATTGATGAACAACTGCTTCTTGATCTCTGTGCTATATATACTATATAGGTCTAAATTTGTATCTAAAGTGAAACCCTTAATAACGAATAAATCGGAAGAATTTATCAAATGTCGTCTTGACAATTTTTCAATCAGTTGTATACTATTTTACGTAAATCTCAGTATTTGCATAAATAAATAAATATCCATGCATATGCGGGAACAGTTTTAAAGAGTTCGATATAATCATTTAATTAAAATACTAAATATCTGCAACATTCCATTATCAGAAATGATGAGTTCTTTCGATGTATTTGTTATTAATTGTATTTCACTGTATAAAGATTCTTCTCGTAAAATGTGTATACATAATCTTATCAGTTTTTTTATCGATACGGCCAGATAAAAGTTTCATTGGTAAAATTTAAATCGTTGATGGCACACTTAACTATATTATTAACTAAATATTTTGAAGAAACAATGGAGGAAATTCTTACTTTTCCAAAAGCAAAACAAAGGAAATTATTGTAATTATTCTATCTCTGCTTTAAAGGAACCGGCAATGTATGGTAGTTGAAATACGAATGTAGTTTTGTGGAGACATTTTTTAGAAATTATTTAAGACATATAAAATGTTCTTACTGTGCATATTTGTTCGGCAAAAGCGCAAATTGTTCATTTTTGACGATTTTGAGAATTGGTTTTGAAAAAAAAATTTTAAAAACGACTACGAAAAATGTATTTAAAGATTCTACAGTAAACTAATTGGTTGCTTAGGAACAGGTTAAGAAAATGAAAATTAATTCTTTTCATCGAAAACAAGAAATCTTGTTCAGCAAATGATTTCTCTAATGTCTCATTGTTCACAAACATTTTCTGTTGATTTCCCGGAATTTTTGTTGAAAAGACAACATTTAAAGAATTTGAAGAAATCTGCAAACAAATTCATAAAGAATTAAAAATTCAATATAACGATGAAAAAGAATTAATTGATTTTAACATTAATTTATTGAGAAAACTTCAATTGAGAAATATGTTCCTAAACATCTAATTAGTCTACTGTAGAATTTTGTAATTTTAGTCACCGTTATTTAATAGTTTAAAAAATTCGATTCTCAAAACGTATTCAACCTAAAATGAATGATTTTGAATGTCGACTTTGTGCTAAAACTCAGTAAAACGTTTTATATGTCTCAAATCCTAATCTTAATTTTTTTTCTACAATACTAAATTCTCAGTTCAAATATCAAAATCCCGTTAATGCGCAAATCACTTTTAAGTTTTACAGAGAACCGCAATTGAAAAATATATATATAGTACAGAATAATAAAAATCAATCATTTTCACCCAGACAAAGATTTGAAGGATAAAATTTTGAATCTGACTCTGTACATGGAGGGTCACTTGAAATATGTGTACAGTCATTTAACAATTATTATTAGAACAAGGAACAGACAAGATAAAGTTTAGAACAAGGAACAGACAAGATAAAGTTTAGAACAAGGAACAAACATGAGAACGTTTAGAATTCCCCAAAAAAGTAAAATTGTATCTAAAATTTTATTCTAATATTTTGATTTTAACATTGATTGCACAGACTTTGTTTAAATTAATATATATACATTGTATATTAATTGTACAATGTACATATTTCATGGTATATGAATATAAAGCTAGTTTAATATCATGAAAAAGTACGTTTTAGTACATTAAAGATACATTTAGGCACATAGGATATGGTAACAGACTTAAAGCACATTTAAAACTGTACACCTGCAGTACATAGTACAGTACAATTATGTTTGTGAATATGTTGCATGTTTTTGAACATTATTTTGACTAGATGCTATTTCTATTTAATACCCATGTTTGCTGTACAGCAGGGGCGTATTCAGGAATTTTTCCAGAGGGGGGGCTTACTTTTATTTTTTTTCCAGAGGGGAGGGGAACTCAGAACCCGTAAGGGCCTGAATACCCCCTGAAATCATTAGATTTCACTGGTCCAGGGGGGACTTAGCCCCAATAGCCCCCCCTGAATACGCCTCTGCTGTACAGAATATGTACAATTAGCGTCACAATAATGCAACGTCAAAATTAACCGACCCACTGCTAGCTCCTTGATTCACCCGACCAGACCTAACTCTCTCAGGGTAAACATTAACCCTTTGCGGCCCATCCTCCTGGAGCAATCTCCAGTCTAGAACATCTGGAGACGGGGTATATTCAAATCCGGAGTAATTACTGACTGAAGGAAAATCCTCGGAAAATGTTTGGTTGTTTGCCCTTTCCTGATTATACAGGGGGAATTTCTGATTGTCTCGATGTGGGGGAAAAGTGTAAATATCAGGATAATCCCCGGGATTATCAAACTCTATCTTTTCATGTACTAATCGGTCCTCTGGTGCGTATTTGCAATGAGCTAGAGGGGGAGGAGGAGGAGGAGGATGTGAAAACTGGTTTTCTAACCGGTTAATCTCGGTCAGCTGTAGTGGTGGAGGAATTTGCGGATTTTCAAATCTGTTGGTTCGCAGATTTTCGTACTTGAGCTCTGTTAATGGTTGATCTAGGTGAAAAATTTCACTAGGTTGAAAGAAGTCATTGTCTGAACTGAATCCAGTCTGATAGTATTCTGTTTGTAGATGACAGTTTTCTGACAGCTGCTGTTCATTTTGAATCAGGTTTTGTTGAGATTGAGCCATCATTTGATGTTGTTGTACACAACCCGCTGGTAGTCCCCTGTAGGCTTCCTCAAACTCCCGGAGATATGTCGCTGCGGCTAGGTCCTGGGTAGAGGACACCTCCCCCCACTGGTACGGAGAAGACGGGGTTATCGTCTGGAAAGTGGGTGGTGGTGTGATCCCTGGATAAGGGGAGGAGGGAGCCATGCTGTGGTATGGGGATGAAGGGTTGATCCATCCCTCCGAGAATGAGGAGGATGAGTAGGAATGAGGGGAACAAAAACAGGTTTCACCGCTACCTCCGCATACTAAGACAGAAATTATAAATAGTTTATGTCAGGAATTAAAACATCTGATTAAAACAATCTTTGCTCCCCTGAATTGAATTCAGACTTTGAAGTTACTCAGCAAAAGCATGCAAAGGAACAGAAAGTTATATTCAAAGAGATAAGGATGATTTCTTAATTAAACATTTCTGATTAAAACATCTTTGAAATTCTCAAACTTTAAGATTTAAAAGCATAAAATTTAAGAAAAAAATATCATACTTCCTGTGCATTTAAACACTGGATTCATCTCTGCCGTGGAGTTGGTTGGACAAAACCCTGAAGCATGCTCCGGCATGCAGAAGAAGTCCTTTGTATCTGGACTCCGGCGTGCTCGCTCCAATTTTTGGCGCTTTTTTTCCGAAAATTTCCGTTGCTTGAAGGCAGTGGCTTTTCTTAGTTCAGAAGGAGTTTTTGACTCTGGTTTAGCGTGATCATGGTAGCCTTTTGCCTAAACATAAAATAAAATTAAAGAAAATCAATTGAAAAAAATGTACAAGATTTGACAGAATTTTTTTAATCTAACATAAAATCCAAAAATGTTATACCTGAAAAAAAATTGCTATATCAGAAACATGTCTCCAAAAATGTGTATAAAGTTAATAAAGCTAATATACATAACGTAAACAAAAATGAAAACGATAAAAATATTTACCGGCAAGGTTGTATTTCTAGTACACCGCTGCAGCCGGGAGCGGGGCAGGGTTTTCCTTGCTGTTTTCGGCGGGCTTTATCACAAATCGCCGGACGGATGGTTACCGCCGATCCAGATGGAAGAACACATCTAGAATAATAATTATTATTGTTTTTGTCTTTTTAAAGGTACTGTCGACATGATTGCGATTTAACTCAATGCCCGATTCACAACAGTACCCAGCCCTTTAAACTTACATCTTAAAAACGATAAGAAAAACAGATTTTTGAGAAATTTTAGAAATTAAAATCTAAATACAAAGGAAAAAAGCAAAGATATCATTTTTGCTCAAACAAGGGGTTTAAAGATGTCGATGTGAATCTAAGAATGTGCATTTATTAAAATAAAGATAAATAAAAAATGTTTAAACATTTCTTCTAAACAACCTGTTATTCTACCTGAGACTGCATACAAGGACTCCTAGGCAAGATTTCTTGAGAATATTCACATTATGATTATTAGTATTACGCATAGCCCATCCGCTTGAATGCCTCTTTGCTTCGTCTCCATCTGCCTGGAATATATAGCGGCAGTGCCCATCAGCCCATTCAGCCCAGGGGTCAACTCCTCGGGATATCTAAACATAGATATTGTAATTATACAAACAATTTTTTTTATCATCTCAAACTTTAAATTCAAGTTTTCATTTTTTTAAAAAGTATTGCTTTTATTCTGTTTTACTTCTTCTTGGTTTTTCTTATTCTTCTTGTTCTTCTTGATCTTCTTGTGCTTCTTGTTCTTCTGGTTCTTCTTGTTCTTCTTGTTCTTCTTGTTCTTCTTGCTCTTCTTGCTCTTCTTGTTCTTCTTGTTCTTCTTGTTCTTCTTGTTCTTCTTGTTCTTCTTGTTCTTCTTGTTCTTCTTGTTCCTCTTGTTCCTCTTGTTCTTCTTGTTCTTCTTGTTCTTCTTGTTCTTCTTGTTCTTCTTGTTCTTCTTGTTCTTCTTGTTCTTCTTTCTTCTTGTTCTTCTTGTTCTTCTTGTTCCTCTTGTTCCTCTTGTTCTTCTTGTTCTTCTTGTTCTTCTTGTTCCTCTTGTTCTTCTTGTTCTTCTTGTTCTTCTTGTTCTTCTTGATCTTCTTGTTCTTCTTGTTTTTATTTTTCTTCTTGCTCTTCTTGTTCTTCTTGGCTGTTATTGTTGTTGCTATTTATAAATGACCATATTAGGCGAGTGTATGCTCTAGTCATGTTTATATTGTCAAAACTAGTCATTCACCCATCTAATATAGTCATGAATTCATCCAATATATTTACCATTCATCCAATATAATTTTTTATTCATCCATGTAAAGTCACTTATTTATCTAATATGATAACGCATTCATGCAATTATTGTTATTAGCATTTTTCATTTTTTTTAAAGCAATTAATTATCAAGCGTTGAACGCACGAAACACGTTTTCAAACTAAAATGACAGGGGGTGTTCAAGTTAAACAGTTGAATTGAAACAGTAAACTTTAAACCTTTATATAAGTAAAAGTTAGAACAATATCGTTGTTAAAAATACAATAATTCTGTGTATTTACTTCCTTGTAAAGCTGCAATACTAAATCCGCTGGACACTTTCAGAGAACCCGCAATCAAAAATGAAAGAAAATCAAGAATAATTATCTAAGTGAATGTTCTCCGACAAAGGTGTACCGTTGTAAATCAAGTATATAACTGTTTACGTGAAATTATGTCAACATTTCTTTAAATACAATAGACAAACAAATTTGTTCCAGTCAAGCAACAATTATTTTTTGATTCCATTTCTCAATCAGTCTGAACTTTCATTTTCTTATCATGCATCCCATTATCATAATCATGTATCTTATTATCATGCATCTCATTATCCCATTGCTTTATGAAAAATTGTCACAAAATCTTCGTCATTGTTGCTGAGACAAAGTTTCACAAGATATCATTGTGAATTGGGCATATCCCAGTGTGTCCCAGTTTGTCTCAGTGTGTCCCAGTTTGTCTCAGTGTGTCCCAGTGTGTCACATTGTGTCCCAGTTTGTCTCAGTGTGTCCCAGTGTGTCCCAGTTTGTCTCAGTGTGTCCCAGTGTGTTCCGATTTGTCTCAGTGTGTCCCAGTTTGTCTCAGTGTGTCCCAGTGTGTCCCAGTTTGTCTCAGTGTGTACCAGTGTGTCCCAGTTTGCCCCAGTGTTTCCCAGTTTGTCCCAGTGTGTTCCATGCAGTGTGTCCCAGTGTGTCCCATTGTGTCCCAGTATATATTAGTGTGTCCCAATGTGTCGGTAAATTTCACTAAAAAAATCACTTTCTAGCTTAACTTAACCTAAAAATCTAAAAACTTACATAAAGATGAACTTTTGCTGGAATATCGGGGTCGTTAATATCCCAGTCATGGAGGGAGGTGGGGCTCGACTCTTGCCTCCCACCCTCATCCACCTGTATCCTAGAGTAGGACTCCTGTATCCTGTATCCTGTATCCTGCATAATGCTGTGAGATGATGAGGGTACCTTCATCTACTAACGAGAGAAGAACGGCCGCAAAACCAACATCAAGCTTCAACAGCTTTTCACGGCTTTGGGGTGTTGGGGGAGTCATGAGAAATTCATTTAATAACTATATAAATGATAAAAATGGTAAAATTTAAATCTAAATATGAAAAATTGATTTGAACATTTCTCCCGTAAAGAAAATAAACCTAAGCTTTTTGTCCAAGTTCCGCCCTCTGATTAAGATCCCTGATTCTGATTGGCTTGACGGTAAATGGAGAGATGTGATTGGCCAGTGATGCTGTGAACCAGCCAATCAGAGCCGAGAATTCATGTATAAAAATGGTTTCAAGGAAAATACTTTTTCTCCACTCTTTCGTAAACGCAAACAACATAATCTAAAGTAAATAAAACAATGTTAAACTTTGAATGCTCAATTAAATTTTATAAAAAACTTTTTTACGGAGACCTAGCTCCAGAAAGGTGGGATGCAAATAGCAATTTAATTGAAGATGTTTACAAGCAGAACCAATGTTTTCATACACCTTTTTTAATTTTTCAATATTAGCGTAAAATCTATAATTGTTATTTCAATTGTTAGTTCATCGTCGAAATACGCTATTAATCTACCAATAGATATTAAAAAAAAATTAAACAATATATATCTTTTTTTCTTTTCCTTTCCTTCCTTTCCGTTTTACAATTGGGGGAAATATTTGCGGCCACAATCTCTATTCAAATACTTATTTTTAAATTTTTTGCTGTTTTATTTTATAAATAAATAATTTCTTCCTATTACTCACCTTGTTTATTGCATTTTTAATCATTTAAAACAATTATAAATTTCCTAATTCTCTTTCATGAAAGTAAGATAGTAAGACGCTGAGATATTAACAACTATAAAAGTTGTTTAATTATAGACAGCCTTGATTTTAAAGTGTCTCAACGCCTTGAACTTTGGTTTTACCTCTGCACCAACTTTCTTAAACTTTTTCAAATACATTTTAAAATGCTAAGAGCTAGTTTCAAACTCAAGTTCAAAGGGAAAACTAATGTTTGATATCTGCGTGAGAGCGTGCCCATATTGGTTTGCAGTAAGGAAGGATCAAGCTATATCTTCTATTTCTCTGTTTATTTATATGTTCGATTAAAAACCTTGACCGATTTTCCTCCATTTTGATTCGTTAATCAATTTTTATAACTTCCTGTTCTATCAATTCCTCTTCTATTAGTTTCTTTTCAATTAGTTCCTGTTCTACTATAGTTCCTGTTCTATTAGTTCATGTTCTATTATAGTTCCTGTTCTACTATAGTTCATGTTCTATTAGTTCCTGATCTATAAGTTCCTGTTCTCCTTTAGTTCCTGTTCTATAAGATCCTATTCTACTCTTCTATAGTTCATGTTCTAATATAGTTCTTTTTCTGCTATATTTCCTGTTCTATTAGTTCCTGTTCTACTATAGATCCTGTTCTTCTAGGTTCTGCTCTATTATAGTTTCTGTTCTATAAGTTCCTGTTCTCCTTTAGTTCGTGATCTAATAAAGTTCTTGTTCTTCTATAGTTCCTGTTCTATTAGTTCCTGTTCTATTATAGTTCCTGTTCTATTAGTTCCTGCTTTATTAGTTTCTGTTCTAATAGTTCTTGTTCTATTAGTTCCTGTTCTATTAGTTCCTGTTCTATTAGTTTCTGTTCTATTAGTTCCTGTTCTAATAGTTCCTGTTCTATTAGTTCCTGTTCTATTAGTTCCTGTTCTATTAGTTCCTATTCTATTAGTTCCTGTTCTATTAGTTCCTATTCTATTAGTTCCTGTTCTAATAGTTCCTGTTCTTTTAGTTCCTGTTCTATTAGTTACTGTTCTATTAGTTCCTATTCTATTAGTTCCTGTTCTATTAGTTCCTGTTCTATTAGTTCCTGTTCTATTAGTTCCTATTCTATTAGTTCCTGTTCTATTAGTTCCTGTTCTATTAGTTCCTGTTCTATTAGTTCCTGTTCTATAAGTTCCTGTTCTACTAGTTCTGTTCTATCAATATTACAGATAGATGTAAGTATATTTATCAGTAAAAATGAAATAATCTTCTGAAAACATTTTATTTACAAAAGAATAAATAAATAAATTTATTGATATA